GGCGCGCCGGCCTGCACTGGGCCGCCGCTGCTGCCGTTCCAAGCGGGGCACCCCGGCGGGACCACTCTGGTCGCGGCTCCTCTGTGGCATCTGCCGCCGCCGCCAGTTGTGGCTCCCCTCTGGCTTCTGCGAGCTCTGCCTCCTTTGTTTTGGGCCCCCGATCCGCAGGAGCCACCTGGCGGAGCTAGGACACCTTCCCTTCACCTCCACGGTTCAGGACTTCGCCGGCCGTTTCCAGGCCCTGGCATGCCACGCGTCGGGCGTGACGGCGCAGCAGCGGGCCGACCTCTTTGTCGGTGGACTTCCGGATCACATCCGCATGGACGTGGAGCTTCGGGGACCCCAAGATCTCTAGACGGCCATGTACTACGCCCGCGCGTTCGAGCGCTGCGCGGTGGCCGTCCAGCAGGAGTCACCATTCCGGGCCACTGGGTCGCTACCCTGGCCAGATCCCGCTCAGGGTCGGCCTGCTCAGGCTTCCGCGGCACCACTCGCCACGACCGCGTCACGCCCGTTTCGCCGGCTCACCTCGTCCGAGCTTCTCAAGCATCGCCGCCAAGGGTTGTACTTCAACTGCGATGAGCCCTACACGCCCGGCCACGCCTGCCCGCGACTCTTCTACCTGGAGGTTGCAGACTACATTCCGGAGGACGCCGTCGCCGCCGACCTTGCCGCCCCAGCTGTCGCGAAGATGTTTGACGCTAGTTGATCACCTCAAGGAGTTCAACAAGCGCTTCCCCACCTTACAGCTTGAGGACGAGTTGTTTGTCCAGGCGGGGAGAAGTGTTATGACCAGCATATTAGGGGCTTAGCCCAGTGGGTTATGGCCCAAGTATCTTAATCATTATTAGGGGCCTAGCCCAATTATCTTATCGTATTAGGATCATTTGCTTAGGAGTCAAGTAAACCTCTCTATATAAGGAGAGGAGATTTATCAATCTAATCAAGCAAGAAGCAATCAATATTTGCTCGGCTTTCCTTAGGGAGCCGGGATACCTAGGCCCTAGCCGCACCTCTCTCTCTCTCGATCGCGACGGCGCCAGCGTGCCGGCCGCGCCCTCGCCCCCGTCAACCCTTCCCCTTCCCCTACAACCTGAGGAGCAGGTCCGGTAGGACCCTGGGTTCTACCATGGGGAGTGGCGACGATGGTCAGGCGGAGGAGAACACGAGAAACGAAGCCATGCGACTGCATCAGGCATGTATAGCTGATCAATGACTATGCATATTTTTGCCCGAATGGTTTAGATGGTCTTATCTGGAGGTATGTATGTGCTTTCTTTGGATGCATGTATTTTCTTTTGATTATTGGAGAGAAGAGACCTAACTACGTTTGCAATGGCACAAACGAAACATTTGAGTCTCAGTTTCTCATGTTCATGTAGTTAATAACACAACATATGGATTAAAGTAAAGATCACCTGCATTAATGTTGTGAGTTGTGAAGTGTGAACTTGTGGACCAAAATTTAAAATTCAAATACAGTC